GTTTCCAATTATTTGTGATATAAATGTTTGGTCACATAGCTATCTCATACATTAATTTCTTATATGCCTCCCTCAAAAACCAAAACAAACAAAACAAAAGAACAACAACAAAACCAACTGCCCACCACTGACTTCAAGACCCAGGCACACCTACTGACCACTGGTGTTCTTGTATCCATCTTTCCAGGTTATGCAACTTCTCAAAGAGTTGGGCACACTAATTCCTACCAATAAGTAGCTCTTATTTTTATCCAAGATACTGGAAGACTATATAAAAATAACCCTTTAAACATGAGATATAGTATACCAACCCATGTATCAGAAGTAATAAACACCAAACATAAAGACATGGAAAGGGACACCCTGCATAGATTGCACGAGGTACACGGATATGAGGCAGCTTCTACTGACTGCTCTCTGGTGTGATTTTAGAGGGAGTTTTAAAGTAGCCAGGACACACAGCCTCACTAATGCAGTTCCTATCCTGTTGAGTTAGATGAGTTAAGGGGATGGAATTAAAAGGGGAAGTTGTCTCACTAAAGCCAGATGTTCAAAGGAATAAGGGGATGTTTACAGTAATGTTGGGGTGTTCCATGGTACCCAAATGTAGCTCAGGGGAAAACACTGCTAACTAAGCATGTGCAAGTGCCTGGCTCAGCTGGATTCCTAGCATCAAGACAAATGCTGATGTTCTTATTGCTCTGAGGTTGCCTGTGGAGAGCAGACCTGAAGATCTTCACAAAAGGTTGTTCAAAGGCAGGAGAAGCACAGCTTACCTCCTCTGGTCTCTTAAGTACTTCATAATCCTAAACCAGGGCATTTTGTGACGCTCAAAGACATGTTTGCCCACCAGGTGGCAGCACAGTGCCAATTATGTCATCAAAGAGCTTCCAAAAGCAGAAGCCACAGCACACAGTCATGTTTGTTGCAATAGTGCACAGCATGAGGGTGCCCTTAGCTCTGTGACAACATCCTGTAAATATGGCTTGATTGATAGGTAAAGTGGGGTTGGAGCAAACTCAGGCTCCAAGGAACTCTTTAAGCGGAACACAAACTAGGAACTACCCACACAATGAAAAAGACATGTCCAATGCTGAAAAAGATTTTAAAATCCTAATAAATAAAAACATAGTAAAGGAAAAGAAAGGGGAAGCAAGAGCTTGGGAGTAAAAACAGATTGGCGGGGAAGCATTTCTGAAAACCAAACAGGCACAGATGGAAGTGTGGAATGGCTGGGCACAGCCCTGGATTTCTTGGCATCCAGCTGGGCCTCTGGACATCTCTGCCTCATTTAGTTATAGCAAAGAGCAGGGTTTGCCTGCAGATGGAGACATGCCCTGCTGCCTCTAAGGGTAGGGCCCTGGCTAAGGGACCACCCCTCAGGAAGGTGGCCCCTCAGAAAGGTGGTCCCTCAGGAAGGTGGGACCACCCCTCAGGAAGATACACTCACCTTAAGATAATGTAATTTTCTTTCCCAGAACCCAGAACCCTTACCCCCCCCATAGTCCCTACTAACCACCAGAAAGTAAGGGGGTCTCCTAACTCAGAAAGGCATTAACCATCCTTCTCTCCTCCTCCTATGTTCTTTTAAGAATATAGTATTCTGATTATTCTAGTCTATCACTAGCTATTCGTTATTTTCCTCTGATGCTGGAGTGCCCAGGTAAGCATTCCCATTCAGGCACTTTGGGCTCCTTCCTCTGTTCTAAAGCCTCTTCCCTACCCCCTCATGGCAGCCTGTCACTGAATCTGACCTCTGTCAACTTCTCTCAAGCATCATGGCTTTTTCCCCTTCTCTGCTTTTGAGCAGCTGGCAGCATGCATTCTGGCTTGCCTTCCCTGGGGTCTTTCTTTTCAACTTGAATAAATTATCCTCCAAGTTCATTTGACTCTAGCCGTAAATCCTTTTACTAATGACACTAAGAACTCCAAGAAGGGAGTATCTTATGGGGGCTCCATCAGGTCTCCCTAGGATTTCCATAACACTTCGCTCCTACCTTTAAATTTAATCAGACGGGAAAAGGAAGAACCTACCCCTGCACACCACCTGTGCTTCCTCCGCCTCCATGCCCCCTGCCAGGATGTGGGAGCAGACAGGCCACACAGACAGGACATCACTCACCTGCAGTTAAATACGCATAATAGCACTGCGACCATCTGGACTCATTTTTCAGCCTCTCAAAGGAGTCAAATGCATCCTTAAAGTTGAGTTCTATCATGCTGCACCAGCCTACAAAAGGAGCACAGTTAGGGTGTTACCCGAGTCAGGGAGCATGGTACACCGCCCTAAGGTAAAAACAAACAAACAAACAAACAAAAAACAGTGCAATGCCCCAAGGCCCAAGTTTAGTGCACCATTCTACATAGAGTTAGAGCAACACCCTACGGTGGTGAGCACCGTCCACCTGCCCATCCTGAAGCAGGGAACTCCACAGCCTAGAGTTAAGCTATAAATCTCTATCTGTTGACGGAAACACCTCTGTGTGTGTTCTTGAAGTACTTCAAACTTTGAACTTTAAAAAATGCACGGAATTATTGTTCCCCTTAAATACTTTCAGTGTGGAGTCTGAGACAACTGTGGACAAGTATGGATGAGGATGCTGTGCCCACTAGACGAAGACTCCAACTTGCTCGCTGCCACAGTGAGTAATGCATGTACGGCAGAGGCAGAAGGGCAGTGCAGAGAGAGGCAACTTGGTCAGACTAGACACTTAGTGGCTGCCACCAAAAGCACTCATCAGAAGGAGAAAACATCACCGTGCATGCGCATGCCCAACCTGTGTGAGAGGCCAGTGCAAAGCAGTGAGGGCCATTAGGCTCTTCCCACCCTCCTCTGCACGCTGGTACTGAGGATGCATTCCATCTCCCCCATCCACTCCTGGCCTTCATTCTGGTAGGCAGCAGCAGTTTATTCCCAGTTACTAACTGCCCTCCTATCACTTGAGGCCTAGCGTTCCCATGGCAGCCTGTGCTAGAGTACTTTCTGGTCCTGACTCCAGTCTTGTACCAGTGGCTCATGGTGTCCTATCATTAGAAGGGGGATAGCAACAGGCTACTGACTTTCTCAGGTCCACAGATGGAAGAATTTTGTGTGTGTGTGTGTGTGTGTGTGTGTGTTGGGGGGGGGGTCCATCACTCCTTCCTCCAATACAATCGCCAATACAATATTGCCTTTATAAAAAGAAACTTATAAGCCAGGGATATAACACTGACCCCAAACAATGTGGGGAGGAAAATATTTATTTGATCCCAGTCCCAGTCCATCACTGAGGGTGGCCAGGGCAGGAACTTGTAGACAGGAATGAGCAGAGGCTGTGAAGGAACACTTTGACTGGCTTGCTTCTCATTGGTTACTCAGTTGCTTTCTTATACCACCTAAGACCACCTGCTGTGGGGTGGCACTGCCCACATGGGCTGGGCCTGTACGCATCAATCATCAATCAAGAAAGTGCCCCACAGACTTACTCACAAGGGCTTCTGATGGAGGCATTTTCTCAATTGAAGTTCCTTCTTCTCAGATGACCTTGCTTGGGTCAAATTAAACACACACACACACACACACACACACACACACACACAAATCTAAGTAGAACACACAGTTTCTCCATTGGCAATAAGTGACTCAGAAGGCTTCAATATCTATATAAGCAAGGACAATTGGCTAGAAGTGATGGGGTGCAGCTTTCTCTTGGGCACTACTTTTCAAGAGCCTTGAATTTTAATGTGGACTAGAGTAGGGCACTAAAGTCAATCCACCCCACATTGTCCATTGTTCCCAAATTAAAAATGCAAGGAGCAATGGGCGCCAGAGAGACAAGCTTTAGAGCGTGCTTGGGTGACAGCACATAGGGTGACCCTCATTACACAGAGCAGTGTCTTCCCAAAATGACCGAACTGCAGTAGGGAGCAGGAGGGCTTGAGCACAAGAGCCAGCAGATGTCTCAGAGTGACAGACATCTGGGTTCTAGTTATGGCTATCATACAGACAGATATGTTAGACTCTTATAGTTACCGATTTCATACAGACAGACATGCTGGATCTCCCTCTGATCTATGGCAAGTTCCAAAGCAGTGTGGAAGGAAGTCAAGGCACTGTTGATTTGACACTAAGGAGAAAAGAAAAGCAGGGTGATTGGCTATGGCCTGACATTAACATCCCCATCATAAATCAAAATAGGTGTCTTCCTGAGTGATGATTTTAAACAGACCAAGTGCCATACAAGACAACCATTAGAGGATTGTTAAGAAAACACTTGTCTGACACAAAGCTGAAATTAACCTCAGCACAGAAAACTCCCTTTAATTTTTTTTTACTCATTTATTTTCTATGTGTGCACACACATGACACAGCTGGCACATATGTGGAGGTCAGAGGACAACTCTGGGAGTTGGTTCTCACATTTCACCATGAGGGCCCTGGGAATTGAACTCAAGTCCTCGGGCTTGGCAGCAAGTTCTTTTACCCTAAAGCCATCGCCTTTTTTCTTTTCTTTCTTCTTTTAATTTTTAAATGTAGGGTCCCCATCTGTGGCCCACAATGGATTCAATCCCATGATCCTCTTACCTCAGTAGCCCTTCCCAAGCAGCTGAGAGTGCAGGCATGTACCACACAGTTTGGTTTAGGAGGTGACTTTTTTAGTGAGGGCTCAGCTCCTCCCCCCACCCTATTCTCTCTCCATAAGTATAAGTAAATTTAGTTGTATTATATTTGTTTTCCAATCTAGTCCTTTGTTACCGATGTATCAACAAGCAAAGGGTGATATTCTGTCTCCTGGAGGAATATCCAGGCGGGTCCAGAAGGAACTCCCATCAGCCTGGAGAAAACGTACACACACTCCCATTAAGCCTTGCCCTATCTAGTTCCTTTGCTCCACCCAGCAGTGGACAGTTTGCAAACTGAAAGTTGGTGTTCATTTGCTTCTGGTCATTTGGTCTCCTCTCCCAGACTCCAG